TACTTTCCCTATTCCTCGGTTTAAGCAATTTCCATGTGGGCTTTATTTTATTATCAGACATTATCAGACATTTATCATCAACCAGTTATGTCTAATATTAATGCAAACCACCCTATTTTTTTTACTATAGTTAGAAAATTAAATAAATACTTTATTTTTAATTTTACAAAGAACATTGCAATTTACGCTACATTACGTTTTACAAATTATTTTATTTAATGAATTTTTATTAAGTCAATTTATTATTAATTAATAATAGAAACTAGAATAAATTAAAGCATATTATTTAGTGCTGCAGTCTTATGTTTGTTTGGGATCCCAAACAAACATAAGAATGTTTGTTTGGGATTTATCATCAGAGGAAATACAGGTTCCCAAACAGTTGATACGGAGAAACCATCTTCCTTGTTGAAATTAGGATGTTTTTTATATTTCAATGGCCTCTCGCAGTATCCTGGGTAGATAACGGACTTCTCTTGCAAGGACCTGGGGTTTCTCAAACTTCATTGAATGTGTAGGTTTATCCATGACATGCTCGCAGACGCAGACTTGTTTACGCGACGGTATTTGACATCAGCTTTAGGTTTTTTGACGCGGGTACAAATACTTCGCTTCGTTTGTCCAATATAAGAGAGACCTTGTTTGAAAAACAAATTACGCGATTTAAATCCGGAAAAATATTTTTTCTTTTCCTATGTGTAACAATCGCTAAAACCTAAGAACTCGATACTTATGACTAGTTTATCTCTTATTTCAAAGATGCAGAAAAAATTGTCTATACATGTAGCTGAACGGGCAGTAATTCTAGTAAGTTCTAAAAATTGGTTATGAACACAGACCACTGGGTTATGTATATCAAATGATTCGAACAGAGAAAGTAACCTCACACTAATTTGTGACTTTTCTAACAAGTTAACATTAAAATCTTCGCAAATTATACTTTACTTTTTAACCGAGTTTAAAACAGGAGGAGGTTCTCAATTGGACTGAATGTTTATTTTCTTTTGTATTTATGTTACGCGATAACTCCGGAATTTGTGAACCGATTTTGACGATTCTTTTTTTGTTGGAAAGAAGGTACCGGTACCGGAAAGTAGACAGTTACAGGTAGGTAAGTAGTGGTTCCATTTAATTTTGAAGAAAACATTCAACCTCTAAGGGTGGCTGTTCACGCATGAAGACTCATTTTTATAAAAAGCGCCAAATTTGATTATAAGGAGCAATTGTTTCAATAGTTGATTTTGCTAAGGTCCAATTAAAGGCGTTTTCTCTCTCTCAGTATACTACAGTGAAAACCGATTTTTATTATCTCCTGTATTAAGTCCCGTACATGGTCCTAGACCGAAGCCGGATTTTGTTTACCTGCATTCAAGGACATTATAAGCTTCAAATCAAGAAAATAAGTGAACTTAACTACTAGTCGTCAAGGTCGTGGATGTAGACTGGTGAAGGTGTACATAGCCCTTTTTATATGTTTCACGACATAAGCTATCCACATTGAACTGCTTGGTGACTTAACGAGCAATAATTATTTATCAGCAATACGCAGATTCATTGTGCGTAGAGGGAAACACAAAACCATATATTCCGACAATGGTTTATCATTTGTTGGTGCTTACAACGACCTTTCAAATTTTTTAAAAAGTAGGTAATTGTGATTCACTGTCATCCGAGGTCACCAGTGAAGAAATAAATTTCTGTTTTATTCCAGCTTAATTACCACATTTCGGAGCTCTATGAGACGCTGGTGTAAAGTCGACCAAATGTCATTTACAAAGAGTGTTGGGTAATTGTATTAATTTTTGAAGAGCTTTATGCAGCACTGGACCAAATTAAAGCAATCCTCAATCCACGACCACTTACCTCTCTCTCGAGCGATCCAGAAGACCTAATGCCATTGACACCAGGACATTTCATCATCGGTAGACCGCGCACTTCCTTGCCAAGCCAGGATTATCAAGATGTGTCAAACGATCGCTTGAATTTTTTCCAGCAAATAGAAAAATTGCAACTTTTTGGTGCAGATGGAGCAAAGGATGTCTCAGAGCTTCAACTGAGGACTAAATGGCGTACTTGTAAAAACGCATTGAAGATGAACCCTCTAGTAGTTCTAAACGAGGACAATCTACCACAGTTAAAATGGAAATTGGGTCGAGCTACAATTCGTGTTTCCTGGCACTGATGGCCTTAAAAAGGGTGGCTGATATCAAAATTTTTACAGGAATTGTAAGAACATCCTTTTCGAAAATGTGTCCATTTCCTGAAGCAAGTAGGTATTACTGGTTGAAAGGCAAGCTTTCAACGGCCGCGCCGGCGGAATGTTCACGCATGAAGACGTATTTTTATAAATAGCGCCTAAATTGTATAAGTAGCAATTATTTTAATGGTTAATTTTGCTATGCTCCAATTTAAGGCGTTTTTCTCTCAAGCACCGATTTTTAACTCCTCTATTAAGTCCCGTATAGTGGCGAACTAGGCGGTGAATCCGGGTTTGCGCGCTTTCCGGTAACCGATTTCAATAAAACGTGGCAAATAGATGTAATTCCAAGTACATTTGAGATCGGTTTTTGAGTACTTTGTTATTTACCTATTATTTTTGAATTCCCTTTGAGGCATTTGTTTTACATAATCAGGTATTAAAATAAACAATGTTATTTACAACTCTTATAACTATTTCTCATGAAACATGTAGTTTTACTAGAAGCGCCAGTCAAGCGATTTGGAAACCTGAATAAATATGTGTAGTTACTATTTTTGTTCGAACATGGTTAGATTTCACTTGACAAACATACAGACCTCAAGAATGTACATGGTAGGTAGGGTGAGTAACCTGAGCTGCTTGTATAAAGGTCTACATGATTCGAAGGGTTCGACTTGGCAAATCATTCTCACATATTTCTTCTATAGTACAAAGGCTCAAGTCAATGCAATTCCCTACAATAAAACCCCATAACTCAAAGCAGAAGACACGTAGCCGTGATAAGCCGTTAGCGCGGTCTTTTTATCACATTGTTTACTCAAGCGATACAATACATAAACAAATCTACTGATCTTATTACAAGTCGCCTCTGTTTGAGGTTTCAATGAAAGATGTGAGTCTACTAATATTCCCAGAAACTTTGTAGTGGACACTTCCTTAATGGTAACATTTTTATGAGCTATATGTAGCCTTAATGGTCTTCCGTGTATGTTGTGGAACTGAAAGACGTTCACTTGAAGGTTGTTTGATTCTAACCATCCTATGATCTTGGTAATGGTCGTGTTTATTATTGTTATAGATTTTTTTTAATAGTTTTTTTTTATAGAGATTCAAATACAGAGAAGTTTCCGGACGGAAGTCGTTGTACACAAACCACAATACATTCCCTTAACTCTACACATGACAATTCGGTTATTCGCTCTACCGAAAGGGCAACTAATTCGGTACTTTCACTTGGGGGAGTACAAATAGTAGTACAAAATTTTCTGGTTATATACTCGATGTACAAAATTTATGACATATAATACTGAGCATATTGGCATTTTTACTGAGGATAGTGTAGACACATCTAATGTTGGGGCAACAGTTTAGAAACATCAATAGAACTGCGCTTGTGTCTATTGTTGTGTATACTGACTATGGAATGGTGGGAAACTCCATAGTATTCATTGCCTTTACAAGTTATATGTAAAATTTTTTGAAAAAGTTATTAATGGCAATATAGGAACCATAACACCAAAATTTCTAATGAAAATTATTAAAGTCATCATTGCTGAAATTTTATACGACTTCCAGTTGCACAGTTTGATCAGTTATTTGAATTTTCTCGTGGCTTTTTTCCGCTGTCAGCACTATGATTCTGTATGAAAAAACACTATTCAAAACAAAATGCACAAAAAAACATACAGAACATGTTCAACCCGTGAGCGTTTGAAGCAGCTTGTCTCACGACCACAAAAAAGGTCACTGATTATAATGTTTACTTTCATTCAAGAAATACCTACGTAAGTTTTTAAATAAATCTCATATCACTAATTAAATTTTATATGTTCAGTATGATTACAGTTCGTACTCTCGATGTACTCGTATTATAGCCACATGTGACAATACGTGAAAAGTGCTTTTATCACAAGAAAGTCATAAAAATAATACGAACTACATGAAACTAATAAATTAATTATGCATGTGAAATTTTATAACCATGTGCATAAAAGTTATCGACTAATTTCTTTCGTAGAATTTTTAAACTTTCCTTCTGAAAAGTTGTCATTTTGCAGTGGTGATCTTGTTATACAGAGTGTGAGCTATTTCTTTGTTCGATTGGTCCTCCTTGCCTCTCCATTCATACTCATAGCGACGCCATCTGACGAAGTTGTAAAGAACCACAGCACCCTTGTTTTGGAACCGTCATCCATCCAACCCAATATGGCGTCTGCAATTGTTCTACCGGTATGACTTCGCTCTTATCTTTAAGTGCTAAATGGTGATTATAATGTGCCTAATAAATAACTTGGCAACGACTTAATTCTATGTGTTCATTTCTTTTTCAAAGCCACGGAACTAAAGAACCGTGTATTATTTAAACACCCAACAGCTGACTCGTAGCGTTAGCGATTTTATTTTTTATAGCAACCGGTTTAATTTAAGAGGCTCGGATATCTTGGCCATTGTTTCGTTATGCGGCTCCGCCTCGAATTTCCCATGAATGAATCGCGTCATTTCTTTGCGAGCGAGGTCGTTCACGTTTTTTTACCTGGCGTGATGTAATAATGCTTTGCGGTTAAGATACAAGTCACATTCTCACCTCAATACTTCTACACGCCGTTAAAAGTTTACCTGCGTTTTGTAAAAGTCAGTTATTTATAACTCGATTGATTTATTTAATTTGGTGTGAAAGAGTGGATACAATGCATTAGCGGGAGTTTCGAACTATGGAGAAACTCGGGCATGCGTATTAGCAAATGATCTCGAAACAGTGAACTTCGTGAAGTCTCGAGTTCTCATTTACGCACACAACGTCGTCGTTTATATACGCGCGCGCACGATTTCGGTTCACCCGTTTGTGATGTAAACTATTTTTATAATTAACCTCACTTCTTTCACTCGGAAGGTGATTCATTTTTGCAGTTGATCATTTTGTCGAATTAAGCTATTTTGTGCAAGTTTTTTTGGAAAACAATAACCATTTGAAGCGTTTTGTAACTTCATTAATTTGTGAAATCGATAAGGAACATGGAAACATCGGAGAGGTCATGAAGTGACAGTAAACATAAAATGAGTAATTGTTTTGTCGCCTGCGACTGCAGTGAGGTCTCACAGGCCGACTTCGACCGCTATACGGACAAAGTGGAAAATGTCCTTAACGACGAAAGAGGGAGAAGTTTGTTTATGAATTACATGTATACTTGTAAAATGAGGGCTGGTCGAAGAGTACTCGATTTTTGGGAGCGTGTTGACAGGCTACTAACTCATAAGAGTAGTCCAGGAGGTGGCTCACCTCGTAATTACAATAGAGAGGTAAAGAAACTACTGGCCGAAGCAGAAAGGATAGACGAATTCGACTTAGCTACTATGGAAAGATTGGACACTTTAGCTCAGGAACCAGGAAGTAGCAAAGATCAAATTGATGAAGTTCTTAAAATATTGAAAGTGGAATCTGCTCATATTCTTAGGCGAGAGTACGATGCATTTAGAAAACATTTTGTACCACGTCGTAATTAGAAAAATCTACCAATTACGCTTCAGAAGACTTGTGCCTTGGATTTGGATGCATTTTTAAATTTCGCGCCTTAAAATAAGAATTCAATAAGTTGAGGGATTTTTGTGCTTGTGTAAATGAAAAAACAAGAATTTGTTTTTTTACCATAAAAAACAATAAAGAATAGACTGCACCAAAGCGTAAAACATTTATATTTAGTTTTATCTTGTATTTATCTTTACATACAGTATGTTTGTACAAGTTGTAAACCTAAGTGTCGCCAGAGATTACCTCATGTGACGAGATATTAAAACTTTGAACTGATATTAAAACAAAGTATGAACATTGTGGGCTGAAAACTCCTTAAATTGTCTGAATTATTGCTTGGCCAGACTAAGTTGTACACCCTCTAAGGAGCATTTAAATGTTAAGAGTACAGCTACTACTTCAATACCAGCTTCATATTTATTAATAATTATATCTATAAGAATAAATATTTATTAATAATTATATATATGAGAAAATAAAAATTCAAACATTCTGTGACAATCTGAATCTGATGTCGTTTTTAATCTTTGTTTGATGTAAACTGAGTTTATTTTTGTTGTCATTAGTTGTTATGTTAAATAGGTAATTAACTGCCTGTGTGAGTGATGAATAAACTGTGATTAGCTTAATTTGAATTATTATTTTGGTAGTAAACTACATACTTACTTTGAAATTCATAATCTGATTTTTTGTTAGAAATGTTTAATAAAATAATTGCACAAGATTATAATAATTTACAGTTCAATGTAGATTATTAATTAAAATTTGATACATACTATTTCAATGAGACCAGTAATTCATCTGCAATTTTATTATAAGAAGTCTTGTTGTAGACTAATAAGATTTAAATGTTCAATTCATTCATTATCTTATGTATTGAATGTACCTAAAATTAATTTAAAAATATTTTTTATATCAATTCAGTAGAAATTAATTACAATACACATTATATGTCTTATTTAAAATTCCATTATACATTTGCATATTGAGTCCATTTCTCGGAAGTATAAAATATTTATCACTTAACACTAATATATTATATCACTTCAATTTCCAACATTTTAGCTATGCAATGTGACATAACTAAAATGTAATTTATTTCTAGGTTTTCTTCCACGAGTAGTACATTTCCAGTGGTTTGTTTACCTGTAAAAATTTTTATATTTGAGACCAATGAACAAAAGAATTAAACAATCTCCTAAATTCACTATTGTATGGAGGAAACATAACAAACATAATTCTTGTCAGTTTTGTATGGTTGGACAATCGCAGTTCAACACAAATACATTTCTGTACATTTTAGGCTGGTGGAAGTGTAGTAAGAAATAAAATTTGTGCGCTTGGTATGAAAGTGCTTTTGACGCTAGCAAACAACACCGCTCAAGTCGAAAAATGGCGGTTTTTGCTTTTGAATGTTACTTAAGTCCAAGTGAAACGTGAATACCAATAAAAATTCAATTTTACATTATGTGTCCATAAATACAGCACTTATTATCAAGAATAGATTAGAAAATCTTGTATGCAATAATATTAGTGCAGTTTTTGTACTGTCCTTTAAAATGACTTCAAATTACTTGAGCAGTGTTGTTTGCTAAGCGACAATAAAAACTAAATAGTCATAAAGACATAAAATACAAATTACGTCTATGATTTTAGAACTTTCTTATTTAAGCATAAGAAAGCTATCAACTAATTTCATTCATAGAATCTTTACATCGGAAGAGTTGTTATTTCTAACTTTAAGAATAAAAGAAAAGCTACTTGCAAACAGTATACCTTCCAGAATCTATCATTGATTTGTCTGAGTGTCTGTGAGCCAGCCAGAGGCACAAATTGTCCTGGTGAGGGTGCCACGTAGATACAGAAGTTGAGCAGGCGATATGCTTCTGGCAACTCTGCATCAAGGTCAAGAGTGAGCCGCATTGCCAAGTATTTGCTAAGATGGTCCACTGGAACACACATTGTTTGAATCAAATTTCAAGTGCTATTAAAATCCCAATTCACAAAAAAATTTTCAAAAGACAGTAAATTATTCAGTTTTGAAATTTTTAATTTGGAAACATGGCGTTACACACACTAGATGGAAAAAGAGAAGATTGTAGGAAAAACAGGTATCTGGAGAGCGGAGCTATTGTCTTACTTACAAACTTGTGATTCTTGAATATACTGAAGAAATATATAAAGGTACACACTCAATCTAACACACATGGTACATTAATTAACACTATCAGCACTATAGAATAAACTATTTTTCTGAGGCAGCAGTGTGCAGCAGTGGTGGGCGGTACACAAATTTTTTTTCACAGCACACCACACCTGCACTTTACTAACTTTTGTAGCAGGCTGCCAGTGGGTCACCTTCAAACATTACCAGCAGGAAAATACATGGTGGCCTGCAGCACTTTGTTTTTTGTGGACGGCCGGCCGCCCACATAGCCTGCTGGGTAAAATTCGAAAATCCATGGTGGCCTGCTGCACTTGGGTTATTGTGGGCTGCCAGCGGCCCATGTGGCTTGCTGGTTAAAATTAGAAGGTACATAGTGGCCTGCTGCAGTAGTGTTTTTGTTTGTTTTTTGATTTAGTTGCCCACAAGGCACTAAGGGTCGTATTCCAGAACTCTACTCAATGCTCAAGTCAGGATTTCAGCAGACTTGAGTATAATTTCGAGCACTGGAAACACGACTTGAGTATGATTTTCAGTGCTCACTGCAATACTCAAGTCCTGATGACTCTGAGAGTGTTAGTGTCCAGTTTTGTTAAAATCCCTACCAGAAGCATTAGCAGTAGTTTTCAAGTATCTGACAGAGCTGTCCCTCAGAGCTCTCATAAGCTGGTTGTCCCCAGTCATCTCAGTTGGATGTGGCTTGAACACCAGCTCTATTTCGTTAGGGTTCAGTGGTTCTCCCTCGCCTTCTGTATCCATTGAGTTCTCACCCTCAGTCCTGAAAATTGTAAAACAAATGTTTTATACAAATGCTCTTTACAAGTTTAAGTTATTATTTTTCAAGTTTATATTATTATGTATTAAAATTAATGTTCTTAACAAATGCAAGGTTGAAAAAAGTCATCATTGTGCCAGACAACAACACCAATTGCCTGGTCTCAAATTTAGAAAATTAACTGTACTGCGAGTACCAGAGCAGCAGATTCACTCTAAGGCACTTCCCAACAATAGCAATCAAAATACTATTTTAAATTACATTCAGATACTTTTAAAGTATTTCTACAAAATGACATTGAAACCAGCATTAAAAAAAGAAATATACAGTTATTTTATTATTTACCATTTACGTGTAATAAGTATGCCAAAATACACACTAGTCTAAAAAAAACGAACTTACCGTCCATCACTAGATTCACTCTCTTCACTTCTCTCTGAAGTCAATATAGACTTAGCTCTCTTTGTGGTGCTTGTGTTTTTCGATATTGAGCTCAAATTAGAGGGCACGGGTGATGGCGTGCTCCTCACAGATGCAGGGTTTGATGTGGACTGACCAGGAGGAGTCGGGTTACTTGATACCCCCTCTCTAACTGCTGATGAGCTGCTGCCCTGTTCAGCACTACCAGAATTAGAGGGGGTACCCTCATCAAGGGTTTTTCTAGACCTTTGAGGCCTATTCTGTGATTGTAACTTAATACCTTCTGTTATCGAGTTTACCAAGGAAGCTTGAGAATGTGACATGTTTAATTTAGCCAATACGCGCTCCTGATGAGCTTCATACTCGTCCCTGCTGGGGTATATCTTCGATATAAGCAAATCGAAATTTGGGTCTGGACGTAGTGACCTTTTTGATACAAGCTTCTTACGACAAGTAGGACACTCCTTGTTACCAGACCGTAAAGCGGTTATGATACAATCCGAGCAGAACCTGTGAAGGCATTCCTTGGTCGTCATTGTCTTCTTCAGCATGTCCAAACATATTGGGCACATTAACTCGCTATGTAAGCTTCGTGGGGACACCGCTATTTCTGTGGCGTCAGTAATTACTTCTTGTGGAGTCCTGTGGAGCTCGTAAAGAGATAACTCCCATGTTTTATTTTGCGAAGGTTCTGCTGACGACATTTTCAAATTTGACGCTTTACTTTCAACTAAAATAAACAAGTTGTAATAAAAACGCCGCAATTGCGACCATTTTGGAAACGTTTTGCTAGAGCTTAATAAAAACCGGTAACTGAGAGTAAAATTCACAAGCAAATTCATACACTCAGGACACTCACTCAAATGAATAAGTTAAATAGTGTGCTTGGCGAATGAATGCTGTAAACGTAGTGCTTAAATTCTCTTTGGAATGCTGGTGGAATCACTACAGATAGGAATCACTTTCCTTCAACATTCAATTCAGCCAACATAACAAATTAAATTACGACTTCAGTGTTGCCATTTATAAAAACCGAAATATCGGGAAAGGCACTAATTTCAGATTTAAATCTCTTTTGATACTTAATCGATTTTGCACAATGCTTAGTATCTACAATATATATGCAAAATCGATATTATAATAAGTATCTATTTATTGTAATATGCACGTGATAATGATTGTGTAATATTTATTATTATTTTAAATAAATAAATTTGTCATAGGACACTCGTACGCTTAATTTGATTCTTAACGCTGATGAATAGATACACAATGTAGAGATGAATAGTACGTAGGTAAAAAAGGTAAATACGCGATGCGATTGTACTACTATTCGAAAAAGGCCAACAGATGGCAGCTAATACATTCTTGTCAAGGTTATTGCTCTTGCTCAGGCGGTGATTATACCTTTTATTTTTTTTCCATCGTCTAAGGATTATACATACAATAACATAATTATAAAATCGCAAAGAAGCTGAACTCAGTTACTTTTTTAAATAAAAAGTCAGAGATAAAAAGTTACTTAGGGTCGTATTCTAGAACTCTACTCAATGCTCAAGTCAGGATTGCACTGGAAACGCAAGCACTGGAAATACGACCCTAATGGCAGTTACTTGAGTATGATTTCGAGTGCTTTAAACCATACTCAAATCCTGACTTGAGCATTGAGTAGAGTTCTAGAATACGACCCTTAGTTTCTTGAATAAATTCATCAAGTGACATCTATCCAGTTAATTGCTTACTAACAAATCAAAAATAATACCAATCGGGCATTGAGAAACCTTCCATTTGTTATCTGAACAGTTAGCTATATGTTTTCACCAATTTTCATAATTGTAAATTAATTTAAATTTAAATATTCCTAAAATTTGTTTCAATAGTTTTGCATTTTTTTTAAATATTTTATACTTCTTATTTATATGACACGTCAATTTCTAGATTCAATACTTTTTACT